GGGACTTGGACCCGATAAGAACTCCGTTCAGACTTTCAGATATTTAATCTACACACCCCTACCTACGAAAATGATAAATAATTACTTCGTGACACAAATAGTGCCGACCAAAAAACAAAGAAAAAAATCACACGGAACAACCTTTAAAAATATGGGTTGCCACAAGCTCTTCACATAGTCTTCAGACGGAAGGCAAGGAAAGAAGTTTTCATTACGTTCTCGACGCTGGGTCAGTCCTCGCCATGTGGCCGTAAAAGCGACCACCTGCACCCTCTCCAGCACTTGCATGAGCCCAGCCCCTTTTGCGCATCTAATGTGAACTGATCAGATGAACCCCAGACCATATACCGTGTAACTGGCTCCGCGATATCACACGACACACTGATAGGCTGCGACGCACCTGCGTACATCTGCCAAAGACTAGACTGCCCCACCCAAAGGCTAGCTACTCCGGCGAGTCGCCTAGCTCTTCATATCACGAAGTATTCACACCGATAAACCAAGTGTGCAACGGCTTAACACTTATAAGTGTGCAACCGCAAGTTGAGTACTTGCAAGTGGTTAGCTCTGTAGGTGTACACTTGCAAGTGTGCTCCTGTGGGTAGCTGTGTAGTTGGAAGTGTGCAAATCCTCGGTTTAACACTTCCTTAGATTGGAGGAATTGCGAACAGAGGAGTTGCACACTTGCAAGTGCACATCAAGAGTTGCGCACTTGCAAGTACTACGAAGTTATACATTTGCAAGTATTCAACTTGCAGTTGCACACGTACAAGTGTTAGGCATTTGCACACTTAATTTTTTCACTGCATTTCGAAGAATCCGAGCAACATGAAAATTGGTGCTCTAAAGAAACTCACATTGATGTTCGTATGCAATACAGTTCAAGCTTCCAATATAACAAAACGGCACCAAATTTTCAGGTCCTATCTTAATCCTTTCTTAGGTTATCGAGTTTCAGATTGTCAAATAGTCGCGAAGCCTTTATTGGTCAATGAAATAATTAGGATTTGGTTCGCATAAGTGATTGCTTAAGTCAGCCAAAAAAATCCTACTCTAAAATATTATTTTAAAACTACCTGTTGAATACAACAAAGTGTCAAAATGTTATTTTAAACTGAACCTCTTCAAAGTTTAAAATTCAAAGGCTAGTTCATTTGAACTATTTTCTGATTAAGTGAAAGAACTTTAGGCCTACACCGATAATAATTTAATTGCTAAATTTAACATAGAATTTTTACCTTTTTCTATTGAACGTTACGAGGCACTGAACTTGAAGCGAATCAAAGAAGCACCAATAATAGGGAACAACAGTCCTAAGAGGATGATATGAACCGCGACGGGCGAAATCACGAGCGAAATCACGGGCTAATTCTTAAGCTGGTCACATTCCAAAGCGGACCACCTTATCTTGTCGAGTCACTTTCGATTCACACTACTTACTGCGAGCATGGCGGTGCTGCGGGTTAATCCTTGTCTGCGGCACACAGAGAGCGGAGCGGAGCAGAGCTGCGGAGCGCTGCCAGAGAAATGGTTCGAGAGGGGACTGCGGCGGTGGCCGGCGCGCAGTCGTTATATAGTTCCTGATGGGTACACTCGGCCGCCCTGCCGCGCCCCACCCGCGCCGCCCCACCCGGCCACCCGCCCCACCCCGCCACGCCCGCCCATTCACACCACCAGCAGCATACCACACGTGGACACACACACGTGGCCTGCGGATGTTCCGATCCAGCGAGTATTCTATAAGGTCATGGAAAACATCCGGAGCACTCTTGAGAACCAATGAAATAGCATCCTCTTCACTTATTTCGCTCACTTTAAACATTCATTGTCTGCAAAAATCAACTCGTGACTTTAGTAGAAGGTAAACAAGCAGTTTTATCAGATTTTAGACACATTTCCAAATGATGGAACATAATGCTCATTTTTGGCACACTTTGTGCTCCGTTGAACAAAATTGTTCTCCTCATTAGGTTTACAATTGGCGCTATGGCCAGTAGCTAGCGGGTACAGCAGTTGCGTCCGCGCGGGCCAGGCAGGTCCTGCGGCTGGATCATCGTGCGCTGGGCTGGGCCCTGGGCTGGGCACTACAGGTGTTCATCAGCGCGCTTCTCCAAGGCTGCCCCATTCATGACAATACGCACGAGTGTGGACGCCTCGAGGACGCGCAGTGCCGCGCCAACCGCCCCCCGCCAATCGCATTTCGGCCCGTTTAATTAGTCATTAGCGCATCTTTTGTCCACGCTCGCCTGGCGCAAGCAGGCGCGGACGGCCGACATTGTCACTTATTTAATTTAATTTAAAGTTTTGTATTAGGAATCAAATAAAACTAGACATTGCAATGTAAACTGTTTCCTCGTGTCACTGGTAGTTGTTCAAAGTTAAGTGTTACCCTTTAGGTATCAAGGGTTTGTTGTTGGGGTGGGATGGTATGTGAATGCTCTCAATGTGACCATGGGCACTTTTGTGGCTGGTCGTGGACATCGTTGTAAACGTAACTAAGCTAGAGCCAATCATTATCAACCAATGATGGCTGCATCTTCAATATTTCAAGACACACAAAATGTCTGTCTGTAAATTACTTGCCTAAACTAGATGAAGTTTGAAACTGGCGTGCACATGCAAGTGCTCATCACTTCGTTGCACACTTTTAAGTGTTTTACTGGACAATTGAATACTAAAAAGTGTTCTTCAGTAAAATTTTGCACTTAGTAGTGTTAAATTTTCGTAGAGACAATGGAGTTTTGGGCAATTTTAAGTGTTCAAATTTACTATTCAAGACTTTTAAGTATTCAAATATCCAGTCCAACAACCAAAAGCGTGCACTATGGAGTTGAACACTACTAGCTAGTTGCAAGCTTCTTTTTTCAGTGTACAGTGGTAGAACTAATTGAGTATTTAACGTGAATATCGCAGTGGAGCGTGGTCACGGCTTTGGCAAACGGTTGTTGTGACGGTTCTGGCGATGATGATGGGTGATGGGGACCGCCGCGGCCCCCCGCTGGCTGCAGCAGCGGTTCATGAATGCGATTGGTTCACACGTACAAGCGGACCTGTCAAAGGCGCGGGCGATCACCGGCCGCGAGCGCGCGCGCTTTCACAACGGGAGCCGGTCAGAGGCGCCGCGTGTATGCCGATGAGAAGAATAATAAGAAAGTGGTTCAGTGGCCCTCGCGTACGCACATGTGTGCGCGCGGCGTGAACCAAAATGTCAAGGTCAGAGGATGCTGCCGCTGCACCCGAATCTGAAGTGTCGTAAAGGCGAGATTTATGGGTTAACGCCAGCGTTATAATAGCAGACGACAAGATGCGATCAGGGGGCCGCGGCGTGTGGGCGGCCGCCGGGCACTACCGACGACCGGACGGGGACAAATCGTGCACAGAAAACACACAAGTGTGTGGGGGATGTCGCACACTTGAAAGTGTGTAAATTTTCATTCGTATACACTTGTGGGTACAGACAGAGGCCAAATTCCAAAGAACGTTCACACCTTTACTTTTTCGAGTGTGCACGGTGTGCTCTTGGGTTTCATGTGTGCGCGAGGGAAATTGGAATATGTAGTGCGAAAATGCGCTGCATCAGAAAATATCAATGAGACCAACGGAACGATGACACACTGACCCCAACAGAAAACTTCAAACGAGAAAAAAAATAACGATCGTACTGAAGCGTGTGAAGTAACATAAGATGCTGCTCATCAATCCGACTGACATTTTACCGCGTGCTATATCCCCCCCACTCACCCACTTCACCATTTTCTTGTGAATCCCAGTATCAATCGCTTCTCTGCCTCGAGTTAGTTTTTTCCTTCTTTCTCCCGACGATCCCCCCGCAGTATTTCAAGCCGTGGTGGCGCGGGGGCCCAGTGACAGGACAGGAGTGCGGCGCGGGTGGGCCGTGAGAGTTTCCCTACCGGCCGACTGGTTGCGCCTTGCACCGCGCGCGACTTGGACTTGGTACATAGCGGGTGACGCTCGGTGCGGCGGGAGGTGCGAGAGGCTCCGGTACAGCGAGGCGGACGACGAGTAGGGCCCGCGCAGGTAGTAGCCGGAGGACCCCGCGCACCGCGACCCGCGCGCCCGCGCGAAGGCCACGGTCCCGCGAGCCTTGACTGGAGGTATCGCCAGGGGGCAGCGGCACAAGTGGAGCACTTAGGGCATTACAGGCGCCATGACTCCGCCCGGTAAGAACCCTAAGCGCCGCTCATTTTCCCCTCTAGCTGCCCCCC